TAGGACAATGATGTGTGCCCTATACGTGCCTGATCACTTCTATCTCTGAAAATTAGTTTTCATGTCCTTTAAGCTTTCCATCTGATCTGGGAGATTATCATGCAGACCTAAGATGTCAAGTATAACAGTGGTAAGTCTTCATCGATTGGGAACCACTTAGTAAATGTTCATCTTTTACTTTTAAATGAGAAGTGAATATATATTTTAAACAGGCCTCTATCCAGTTGAATGTATATTCATTCCAACAGCTGCTAATACCATAATCTCAGTCCTAATTAGCATAATTATTGATTGATGAACCCATTAGTTGTTGGCTTCTGTCTACAAAAATGTCCATAAACTCTTAGTAGCACAAAAATTCTCAAGGAAGGCACATTTTTACTTGCATATTTAACAATATCTAGGTTATATTCCTACGCACCATTAAGGAAGTAAACCCAACTTACTAGTTGTCATGTAGATCACTGCCCAAGGAAAATGCCACTGAAGATATCAGTATTAATACACCTTTTATTTTTCTCTCTTCAAAATACTTCTAAAAGGTGCTCAGTGGCAGAATTGGTGTTTGAATATTATCTGTAATGAACTATTGTTAACTTTTATGAAAATAAAATATATATAAAGAATATTTGTTCATTGCAACACTCTTTACAATAGCCAGAATCTGGAAAAGAACTGAGTGCCCAAGAACAGATGACTGGTTAAAGAAACTCTGGTACATTTACACAATGGAATACTATGTAGCTGTTAGAAAAGATGAAGTCATGAAATTTACATACAAGTGGTACTACATGGAAAGTATCATGTTAAGCGAAATGAGTCAGAAAGAAAGGGATAGACACAGAAAGATTGCATTCATCTGGGGAACATAAAGTAACAAAATCAGAGACTAACACCCAGGAGTAGCTGAGATTAGTACCAGGAATTTTGCCCCATGACTTGGAGGCCAGCCACATGTGCTAGGGGAAAAGGAAGCTCAGATAGAGAAGGGAGCACCAAATAAAGGGTGTTGGGAGGATCCTCCCAGGATGGGAGAAGTATGCTGAAAGTAGACTATAGACCAAACATGATTGCCACTCAATGCCTCTCTTGCAAGCCACAGGACCCAAAATGAGAGAGAGAGAACAAAAGGGAATGCCCTGCCACAGAGGCAGGGTGGGATGGGGGGATGGGGGTTGGGAGGGATGCTGGGACCCATGGTGGTAGAGGATGGGCACTGGTGGAGGGATGGGTACTTGATCATTGTATAACTGAAATCCAAGCACAAAAATTTGTAAGTCTATAACTGTACCTTATGGTGTTTCACTAATAAAAAAAAGAATATTTCAAGGGATAAGTAAACCAGGAAGAAATTACACTCTGAAACATATATGAACCAATGAGGGGCCAGAAAAATACTCAATACAACTGCTTTCTTATATTCAAATAATGAAAGAGAACAAAGAGAAGAATTCTGTTCAGAATTGTTCCTCAGAATATCAAATACTTTGGAATTAGCTTAACTAAGGAGGTAAAGGACCTGTATAAAGAGAACTACAACTTAAAGATTGGAGACTTACATAGTCAGCAACTGGATAAAACACCTCTCCCCACCCTTAATAATTTTACATCAGTCCACAGTCAAAATATTCTTATGCAGCTGTGGGACCCATCCACACAATCAGAGGGCCCGGGGAGAAATCTCATCCATCTGTTTCCTGGGTATTAGACAGAGACATTGATCTTGGACCTGGACCTGACAGTGGCCTATAAACCTGCCCCAACTTCTCAGCTGTGTGCAGAGAACCTCAAGAGAACTGTCGTAGAAAATTGTCCACAGATGAGAGGTCAAGTTGCAGCATACCATTACAGCAATAAATACGAGTTTCACTAAGAGAAAGAATAAGAGCACCATTGACTTAATTCTTGTTACCCAATGTGGCACACTCACTGTGAAGGGAAATCTTTTGATCCTTGATTTTTCCTGCCAAGGAACATACACCATGCCTGTGCATGAGCACCTGGCTTCCCAGCCATGTGGGATGCAATCGCAGAGCTCATTTCCCTATAGTTAGTTCTGAATTGTGAGCTGTATGACTAAGGTTAGAAGGAGGCTTGGTGAGTAGCAGACAACACACTTGAAACACATTTAAAGGAAGTGGATTCAACAATATGCATCAAAGACTCCATCAAGAAGTCTACCTACAAGCCACTCAGATACCTGGGATACTTGAATAATTTGGCTTACCTTGGTTTGGATAACCTAAATTGAGCCATGGATATGCCCAGTGTTGCAGAGGGTTCAACCTGTCTATGTATGAATAGAAGAGGCTGTGGCACATATATACAGTGGAATATTATACATCCCATAAGAAAGGAGAAAATGTGTCATCTATCACAATATGGATGGGCTTTGAGAGCTTTATGCTGTCAAATATTCAAATAATGATAAATATCTCATGAATACACATATGTAGAATCCAGCTGAATCCCCATCATAGAAAATGAGTAAAATGGTAGTTACTAGTTAGTGGTGGAGGGATGGAGAAACTGAAGAAAATGGAAAGATACAACCCAAAGGGTAACACTTCTGATTATAACATTAGTAAACTCAGAATATATATGATGTATCACATAGGTAAAAGGTAACTTGGTGAGGGGGTGGAGGTGATAACTAACCCTAGGATAATAATACTTGGGTAATATCAAGTTGTATCAAATTATCATGCTGTAGACTTATAAAATGACCAATGTTAATTATATCTCAAAAAGGGAAAATTAGAAAGATCACATATTCATACTATTAAGAATTTTAATTTATTTATTTTGGTTTGGGGCCACACCACAGCTATCCAGGGATTACTCCTGGCAGTGCTCAGGGTAACATGTGCTGCTGGGAAACAAACCCAGGTCTCCCACATGCAAAAACTGTGCTTACTCAGTTGAGCTCTCTCTGTGATCCCTTAATATCACTTTTGAAATAATCAATACAATGCCCTCTATCCCTTCTTCCCAATTTGAACCTTTACTGAGAATATATAAAACACATTTACAAGAACTTTTCCCAATGCATTCTACTTTTAAATAGCAAAAAGAGTGGATTTTTTTTCTTTTTTTTATTGAATCATCATGAGATACAGTTACAACACTTTCATATTTGAGTTTCAGTCATACAATGATCAAACACCCATCCCTCCACCCAGTACACATTTTCTACCACCAATGTCTCCAGTATCTCCCACGCACCATCCCCACCCTCTCCCTGCCTCTATAGCAGATGAGTTCCCCCATAGTCTCTCTCTACTTTTGGGCATTATGGTTAGCAATACAGATACAGAGAATCTAACCTGTTTGGTCTTTTATCTACTTTCAGCACACATCTCCCATCCCGAATAATCCCTCCAATCCCCCATCATTGCCTTAATGATCCCTTCTATATTCCAGTTGTGTTCTCCCCCAGCTCATGAGGCAGGCTTCCAACTATGGAGCAATATACCTAGGCCTTGTACCTACTGTCATTGGATGCCAGTCTCATATCATGTTATTTTATATTCCACAAATGAGTGCAGTCTTTTTATGTCTGCCCCTCTCTTTCTGACTAATTTCACTTTAGCATGATACACTCCATGACTACCCACTTATAAGCAAATTTCTTTACTTTACCTCTGTTAACAACTGCATAGTATTCAATTGTGTAGAATGGAATTTTAAAAAAGTTTCTTTAACCAGAATCTTTTCTTGGGCACTGGGGTTGTTTCCAGATTCTGGCTATTAGAAGAAGTGCTGCAATGAACATACAGATGCAGATGTCATTTCTACTGTGCTTTTTGCACTCTTGGGATATATTCCCAGAAGTGGTATTGTGGGATCATATGGAAGTTCAATTTCTAATTTTTGAAGGAATGCCCATATTGTTTTTCAAAAAGGATAGACCAGTCGGCATTCCAACCAACAATGAATGAGAGTCCCTTTCTCTGCACATCTGCACCAGCGCTGGTTGTTCTTGTTCTTTCTGATTTGTGCCAGTAGAAAGAGTGAATTTGTGAGAAACATGGCAGCTAATTTATAAAAAAAAATACTATTCTTTATTATCAACAGTTGAAAATCTCTGATGTTGTACGTTCAACTTACTTCTACTATACCTCGCAATGAGAGGCGTGATAGGAACTAGAATCCTGAAATAGGCCCTCCCGTTGATCGTCGATTTGCTCAAGCGGGCCCAGTAACGTCTCCATTGGAGACTTTGTTGTTACTGTGTCTGGCATATCCAATACTCTCGGTAGCTTGCCGGGCTCTCCGAGAGGGGCGGAGGAATCGAACTCGGGTCGGCCATGTTGGCCGCTTGTAAGGCGAACGCCCTACCCGCTGTGCTATCGCTCCAGAATCCTGAAATACTACAAACAAAACTCCCTCCATATGCCTTCATCTTTCAATTTTGTTGTGTGCCCTCTAAAATTACTCTTCATAAAAATCTCAGAACATAAAATTCCTTACTTATAAATTCTATAAGAGATATTAAAAATCACTTGGCTTAATCCTCTCTCTTTTTTTCTGTTCATTACCATTTTAAACACAAAAAATGAACATTAACCAACTTACTATTTTTAACTTATAATTTTAACTAGTACATTATAGCAACATGAGAACATTACATTTTCGGTTTTCACACTATCTCTAGGTAATAGAATTTCATATTATTTCACTTGTAATATGATATTATATGAGATAACATAGAGGCATAGTGAAGTTTATCCAGGAAAAAAAACCCAATCTGATAATTCAATATTGACTTTTCTGTCATTCTTCTGTAAAATATTATTTTATGTAGTTTTCAATGTTTATCTATAAATGATCACAATATTCAGAACATGGAGTATTCTACTTACTTCTTGGTAAATTCTTCACATTTCCTGGATTTTCAAAATTCTCCTACAAATATTCTATTAAACTTATTTGAGTAGAGAATCAGTAAGATGAATATTTCAAAAAGCAAAAATGCAGTTACAAATCTAAAGCATTTAATACTTAAATACTTGCATGCCATGATCACGCAGGTCATTTTCCCAGGGCAAGGCATCTCCATCACACTCCAGATGTGCTGACCCCTGCAATTTCCCCAGATGTGGGAAATTCGACTGCACAATTTGTGGTAGTGGGGGACTGCATTCGTGCTTCCCCCTGTTTTTAAGAAAGTAAAAAAATGTTTTTAACTAAGGCATTGATAGGAAATTTAACAAGAATTTTATGTCCAAAAGGCCACAAGCACATACACACACACAAGGCTATGTGTTCAAAGAACAAAAATATTTGTGCTGGATACAAGTCTAGAAACTATCAAGAAAATTCTTCAAGTATAGGACCTTTAATGAAAAGTAAGCAATAAATATTAAGATATGTGGTACATAAAAAAAACAAAGATGAGCCCCCAGGGTCGAGATCACAAAAGATAACAAATAATTCATTAATTATTGATGATTTGTGAATATAATTGGGAAGCAATATGATGTAGTAAAAAATATCTTTAAACTACTTCGAAGTCCTTTAGGAACTCACTAGCTAACTAATTAGCTAAAAGTAGTTAAATATTTATGAGTGTCCAGAAAAAGAATAAACAATGGAATGAACTAAGCTCCTAACCATATGCAATCCTTGAATAATAGCCTTGCACCTCGCAATGTGAAAGGCTGTATCCTATTCCTGACTTTTATAACCTTTTTCTCACAATACTCACCTTTCCTGTCACTGTCACTGTCACTGTCCATCGATTTGCTCGAGCATGCCCAGTAACGTCTCCATTGTGATGCTTGTTACTGTGTTTGGCATATCGAATACATCACAGTTAGCTTGCCAGGCTTTGCTGTGAGGGCAAGATACTCTCGGTAGCTTGCCGGGCTCTCTGAGAAGGGTGGAGGAATCAAACCCGGGTCGGCCGGGTTGGCTGTGTGCAAGGCAAACACCCTACCCTCTGTGCTATCACTCCAGTCCACTCACTTTTCCTATCATTAATAATTTCTAAAAATTTCTTTTAATATTTTCCTCACTATGTTTTTCCTCTTTATTCCAATAGGTACAATAAGGACGTTAATCACACAGACATCCCAGAGTTTGCTTTGCAAATAAATATAGAGGCACATAATATTAAGAATTGTTATGGTTCTTAGATTACTCTGTCTAAAACTTTACATAAGAAATACTCAGTTGGACATCGTAAAAGATTTTATTGTTTTTCTTCTTGCAAAGGACAGGAAAGCAAGTCCAATGTAGACTTTTCCAAATTTTATGTACAGTATTTATAAATGAGAGAAAGAATCCAGAGTTCTGACATCCGTCGACGATCAAGAATCAGGGACGCTGTCTCATTTGCCAAGGTGTCGAAAATCAGATGGGCTGGTCACGTAATGAGATTTAAAGACGACCGCTGGACTAGAGCTGTTACCGACTGGATTCCACGGGATGTCAAAAGACCGCGTGGCCGCCCACCTACCAGATGGTCAGACTTCTTCGTCAAGATCGTGAACGATCAGTTTGAGGCCCTTCATGTTCCCGGAGCGAACAGATGCCATTGGGCTACACTAGCACGCGACAGGGACAAATGGAGACGTTACTGGCGCCCACTCGAGCAAATCGACGACTAACGGGAAGTTAAGTGATTAAGTGATTAAGTGAGTATTTATAAATTAGGTAAGATATTCTTTGCTTGATTCTCCTCAATTCCGATAAACTCCTTAACCTGTGAAACAGTGATCTTTATTACTACCCATGAAACTGGGACTCTGTAGTGAGATACCAGGAAATTTTTCTGAACAAGCTTACTAAGTATTAACTCTATGTGTTCCTTACTAGTGGGCTGGTCACAACTGATTAAAAAAGAATCACACTAAAGAAATGCTAATCTAAGCAGTGCTTTAGTGAAGGAATTCTTTTGATTAATTGTGACTTGGTAGAAAGAATATACTCTTGTGATCAAATGCAAACAAGTGTATTGCCATGAAAAGTAAGGGGATTCAGTGAACAAATCTGACCCAGAATTTCAAGGGCTCAATGAAAACTATCTTCCTTTTATGCATGATTCATTCAATTAACATAAGCATAACCACAACACACTTAACTGTGGTTATAAAAGTTTAAGAAAGTTAAAGAGCTTTTCATATATTCATGAGAAAATGTAAAAATGGTACTACCCAACTGAATAAACAAGTAGTCACAATTAAATATCCTCAACCTTTTTCTTTGGATCCGAGGTCAGTAAATTGCTTTAATGAAGTATGTAATCTTGAGATACAAAGTTTCCTGTAAATGTCTAATTAGTACGCTAGTGAAAACAGAAACCTGGTGTAAAAGGTGTGTTGGTCATCTGACAAGGGGTTGATATCCAGGATATACAAAATACTGGTTAAACTCCACAAGAAGAAAACATCCAACCCCATCCAAAAATGGGGCAATGAAATGAACAGAAACTTTCTCAAAGAAGAAATCCGAATGGCAAAAAAGCACATGAGAAAATGCTCTACATCATTAATCATCAGGGAGATGCAGATCAAAACCACAATGAGATACCATCTCACACCTCAGAGACTGGCCCACATTCAAAAGAACAAAAGCAACCGATGCTGGCGTGGATGTGGCGAGAAAGGGACACTCCTTCACTGTTGGTGGGAATGTGCACTGGTTCAGCCCTTCTGGAAAACAGTATGGACGATTCTCAAAAAATTAGAAATTGAGCTCCCATTTGACCCAGCAATACCACTCCTGGGAATATATCCCAGAGAGGCAAAAATGTATAGTCGAAGTGACATCTGCACTTGTTTGTTCATTGCAGCACTCTTTACAATAGCCAGAAACTGGAAGAAACCTGAATGCCCAAGAACAGATGACTGGTTAAAGAAACTTTGGTACATCTACACAATGGAGTACTATGTAGCTGTTAGAAAAGATGAAGTCATGAAATTTACATACAAGTGGTACAATATGGAAAGTATCATGCTAAGCGAAATGAGTCAGAAAGAGAGGGATAGACATAGAAAGATTGCTTTCATCTAGGGGATATAAAGTAACAAAGTATGATATTAATACCCAAGAATAGCTGAGATCAGCACCAGGAGGATTACTCCATAACTTAGAGGCCAGCCGGGTATCCTAGAGGAAAGGGCAGTTCAGATAGAGAAGGGAGCACCAAATAAAGGATGTTTGGAGGATCCTCCCAGGAGGGGAGATGCATGTCAAAAGTAGACTATGGACTGAACATGTTTGCCACTCAATGCCTCTTTTGCAGACCACAACACCCAAAAGGAGAGAGAGAACACAGGGGATTGCCCTGCCACAGAGACAGGGGGGATGGGGGGATGGGGGTGGGAGGGATATTATCCATGGTGGTGGAAAATGGGCACTGGTGGAGGGATGGGTATCTGATCATTGTATAATTGAAACCAAAGCACAAAAAATTGTAAATCTACAACTGTAAAAAAAAAATAAAATAAAATAAAGGGAAAAAAAAAGGTGTGTTGGTGCAAAGCACAGCTTACATGGATGGGATCGTGGGGAGGGGTCCTTGAGATACTGGTGGAGGGAAGCAGGTTCTCTAATGCTGGGTGTGGTATCGGAATGATGTATTCAAGAAAAGTATAGTCAACAGTAATGCAAATTCTGGTATCTCAATAAAATGTCTAATTAAAAAATAAAACTCGGGATACTCCTTAACTGTTGGTGGGAACGTCCACTGGTTCAGCCCTTCTGGAAAACAGTATGGACGATTCTCAAAAAATTAGAAATTGAGCTCCCATTTGACCCAGCAATACCACTCCTGGGAATATATCCCAGAGAGGCAAAAATATATAGTCGAAGTGACATCTGCACTTGTTTGTTCATTGCAGCACTCTTTACAATAGCCAGAAACTGGAAGAAACCTGAATGCCCAAGAACAGATGACTGGTTAAAGAAACTTTGGTACATCTACACAATGGAGTACTATGTAGCTGTTAGAAAAGATGAAGTCATGAAATTTACATACAAGTGGTACAATATGGAAAGTATCATGCTAAGCGAAATGAGTCAGAAAGAGAGGGATAGACATAGAAAGATTGCATTCATCTGGGGGATATAAAGTAACAAAGTATGATATTAATACCCAAGAATAGCTGAGATCAGCACCAGGAGGATTACTCCATAACTTAGAGGCCAGCCGGGTATCCTAGAGGAAAGGGCAGTTCAGATAGAGAAGGGAGCACCAAATAAAGGGTGTTTGGAGGATCCTCCCAGGAGGGGAGATGCATGTCGAAAGTAGACTATGGACTGAACATGTTTGCCACTCAATGCCTCTTTTGCAGACCACAACACCCAAAAGGAGAGAGAGAACACAGGGGATTGCCCTGCCACAGAGACAGGGGGGATGGGGGAATGGGGGTGGGAGGGATATTATCCATGGTGGTGGAAAATGGGCACTGGTGGAGGGATGGGTATCTGATCATTGTATAATTGAAACCAAAGCACAAAAAATTGTAAATCTACAACTGTAAAAAAAAATAAAAAAATAAAGGGAAAAAAATAAATAAAACTCAAAGACCTAAGAAAATACCAGTGGTTCGGAACCTTGGGTCCATGCTGCTCTGAGTTTGCAATGTTTTGTTAAAGAGACAAGTTCTAGCCCATAGTTTATGACAGAAACTTTAAGGGTGGGCGACAGAAGGTTCTTGCCTTCCTTGTGGAACTACATATGATTCTGAACATTGCCAGTAGTGATGCCTGAGCACAGAGCCAGAATTAAACTCTGAGCACCACCAGGTATGGCTCAAAAATAAAAAAAAATTTCCAAAAATGATTAGAAACTATTTAGTTATATTTTACTGCTCTTGTTTTATAACAGTCTCTATTTCTTCTTGGTAAGATTTTCTATATTCTTTGATGATTTCCTTGAACCTTTCTTGGCAGTGAATACTCTTACCACTGGAATGTTTAGAAAACCCTATACTTATACTTCATCTTTTACAATAGTTTTTGCTGGATAGAGATTTTTCTATTTATAAATTTATCCTATCAAATTAAAGATATTGCTCCATTCTTTTCTTTCTTGTTCTGTTTCTAGTGTGAAATCTTATCCCATCCCTATCTTTGTATATATGTGTATAAGTTTCCTCCAGTATATTTAAATATTTTTTATTGATTTTGAGCAATTTATTTCCTAATCT